TCTGATCACTGGATCATGACTGGATGGCATGGAGAACAGTGGGATTTTCAAAACAATGAAAAGACAATGGAACATTCTGATCACTGGATCATGACTGGATGGCATGGAGAACAGTGGGATTTTCAAAACAATTAAATTTGGGTCTCTGAAATGGCATTTCCAGCATTCTGAGAAAACATTCTGGAAAATTTTTAGATTCTCAAAACATTTAAAAATTCAGAATATTTAATATTGGCTATTCTGCTATTGTCAACTGGTAATACACAACTGAATTCCTTAACATAAGTTGGTTAGAATTAGGATAAACGTCATTTTTGCAACCCCCATGCACCTGTTGACCCTAAATCCACCACTGATGGAACATTCTAATCACTGGATCATGACTGGATGGCATGGAGAACAGTGGGATTTTCAAAACAATGAAAAGACAATCAATTTATGGAACATTCTGATCACTGGATCATGACTGGATGGCATGGAGAACAGTTGGGTTTTCAAAACAATGAAAAGACAATGGAACATTCTGATCACTGAATAATTATACCATGTAAACATTTTTATATTAATACATGAAAATAAAAGAGAAATCACCTGGTTTAATGTCGAGATGAGCCAAATTTAATGAGTGAATATATTTTAATCCCTAAAATAAAAAAAACTTTGTGTTGATTATAAACAGCCACAAATAAGATATTATATATTCAAACGTGAAAGTTTCAAACTAACCTGAGAAAGTTGACATAACAAAAGTTTCAATTCAGGTTCGGACATAACTTTCATTTGTGATTCATTGACTGAGATAACATCTGCTAAACTACCACCTAAAAACAACCAGTAGAATAAGTGTAATGATGGCCATTGAACCTAGCAATGAAATAAACAGTTCAAGCTCACCATTGCAATATTCATTCTGGATCAACATGTGATCATCTTCTGCCCAGGCAGAATAATATCCAACTACATGCGCATGTCGTCCGAGCACAGCATGAGCGTACACCTCACGAATTGCGTTTTGTCTGAACGGTAGAAAAACAAAAAACATCTAAGTTATATGGAAAAAAATATAAAAATTAATATATATGCAATATAAACTTACTCGTCTATGGAACCAGCCACTGGTTTTTTGGATCTTTTAAGAGCATATATACATCCATCTACAAATAAAATTACAATAACCATGAACCATTACTGTTTAACATCATTTGTTTATCACGTTTTTCATTCATTGGTGAGCAGATTTCCCAACAGGCTATTGGCCAAATTGATAGGGGATCCGAGGTACCTACGATTTTAACGTCCTTATCCAAGAAGACGCAAAGTCTAACCATTTACTGATGTCAATGTAAAGGTAGCACTTTCTCCTCAATTATTTTAAGACCTTGAGTAGAGGTCCTACCAAGGATTGAACCCGGGTCTCCCAGCTTGAAAGGCAAGCGTCAGGTGGTGACCACCACAGCACAAGAGCTGGTTAATTAATTAATATCAGGGCCTTTTTTAACATACAAGCTGGGGGGCAAATGCCCCCCCCCAGTCCCCCCTTTGTGGCCCCCCCCCCACTAAATCACATTTTGCCCCCCCCCAGGAAAAGTCCCTTTTCCCTAAAATTATACAAACAAACCAGCGAAGATTGACAAATAGATAAACGGAAAGTAAGTTTTAGGCTTTATCCTTTGTCCTTGTTTAACAAAATCGATCTAAATTGTTACATTTCTCTACCACTAAGTGATGATAAGTTATTGTTAATAATTTTATTATTTTTTTGATGCTCAGAATGTAGGAAATAGCATTTCCGGGTTTCAAATTTCAAAAATTTTCTGGGGATTATCCCTCTAATAAGTAATGATAAATTACGGTTAGTATTCTTTTTTACTTTTTGTGCATTTTTTCCTAATCTTTTATTTCAAATACAAGTATAGTTAGCACAAGTTTTAGAGCAAATTTGGATGCTCAGAATGCAGGAAATGACATTTCCAGGATTCAAATTTCAAAAATTTTCTGCGGGAGTATTCCCCCAGACCC